CCAGTAGAAAAAAATCTACTTATCATGTTTTCCCTGGACATCTGTCTGATTTGTCTGATGTAACAGTGTAGTGCTTGAGAGCGAGAAACCTGATTTTTAGGTGGATATGTGAGCATCTTTATCTAAGTTGAGTAAGATAAAACAAAATAATGGTGATTTATATAATAAAAATTCTGTGCTTCCCCTAAAGGTGAGTGTTGGATTACTAGAACAAGGGATCCCAGCCCTGGATGAAAGCTGTCAGTTCTATCACTTCTGCAGATGTATACAGAACAATGCTCAGTTCTGCAATCACACAGTGCTAGACAAACTTCTTAAGAGGAAAAGATAATATATTAAAAACAAGGAATTAATTCATTTTGTCTGACAGCCACAGTTTATGTTTAATCATTTAGGAAATACTGCATCACATAGTAAATCAAGGTGAAATAAAGTATCACTGCCACACAGGGCTATTAAGCCTTAATCTCAATGAGATTTGTCAGAGAAGTGTCTGTGATAAGGTGCAGAAATTTATGGGCATATTTTTCCTCTTGTCTAGGATTGTGCTGTTCACATCTGTATGTAGGAATTATGTGCAATACCATAAACATTTGATGTATCTTGAATATACCTAACATTATCTATCTTTGCTGGCAACACTTACCTTTTGCATGATTGTAGCTACCTGCCTGGGTTACAGATTGAAAGTGCTGCTCAGCTTTTGGCTTGGTTACTTTCAGTGATTCTAACTCATTTAGAAGATGGAAATCTGTCTTATTTTGATTCAGGACAGTACTTTTGGCTTGGACAGGGCATCTACAAGCTTCTGTCTTTTGAGAATGTGGTAGAAGAAACCTAATTGTGTCCTGCATTGTCACAGGGAGAATGACCAACTGGCAACTGAAAAAACACGTTAGCTACCTAATTCCTTTCTTCTGCTTTTCACTGTCACTGCAAATATAATAAAGGGAGATGCATATGAACTAAGCCTCCAATCTCCAAGCAGAGAGCCTTACATTGGGATTACAATGGTGTTATCTGATCTCACTCTTATTTCAGAGGTTCCCCCCTCACTGCCCGAACAGCTCTGTGTCACAGCTTGATCTGTAGAAGGATGCCAGGTTCCTCTTGATTTTCCCATAATATATTACAGGCTGAAACAGTGCAGAATTTGCTGCTGAGGCAACCAAGAAATCTAGAAAGTGGTTTGGGGATCTCCAAAAGAAGCAGTTGAGGGTAAGAATCACTGGACTACCTATAGCCAGCAGTGGGAGAATTGATGAGAAGAAGCATGGTCTGTACTGTGAAGATTTGAAAGAAATTTGAGGGACAGAGAGAAAAATATTGGTAGGACTTCAAAGATTTGAACAGCACATAGGTGTGTGAGAGAGTAGGGCTGTTTTTTAATGCTTTGCTAGTCACTCAGAAAAGGAACCTCTAAAGGAAAGAAATCTTGCTTTTCTGCAGGTAGTTTTAGGGACTTGAGTGTATTTAAAGGGTTAGTATTTCTAAGCTTGGAAAATGGAGCATATGCAGTTTGGATCATTTAAAGTCACATTCCAGAAGACATAAACACCTGCAGTGGTTAAATTACTGTAAATCCAGGGCAAAGTTAAGAGAAACTTTTGAAATTCCCCCAGTCAAAGTAGCATGAATGAGACTTTCTGGTGTGCAGTCCCGACTAGAAATACTACAGCAGCAGCTCTTGTAGGAGAAATATATAGTCCTTATCTTACTTGGGATAGAGTTATTTGAGAATTCGGAGAGAATAAATTAGGCCTGTATTTAGGACTCTTGCAAAAGGGCTGTGGAGCATATGTGATAATAACTCCTGGGACCTCAAGGTAAGATTTACTAAATTTATTTATGGCCTTTCTAGTCCCTATGAAATTAAGTGGTAACGTATTTGAAATCAGAATGTCCAAATACTTCTCTACACAGGTGATATGACTTTGATTTCAGCTGCATAGTGTTTATTATTCTCCTATTTGTGGAGTTGCTTCTGATAATGTCAGGTTTGTTAGCCCTACTTTTAAATGAGGGCAGAATATGTTTTGGTGAGTACTGCTGAATCACAATAGCCTACATGAAATGGTTTTCATTTCAGTGGGTAATGAATAGTTTTACTCTCTCCTTTTACGTATTTCAGTATGTGAAAATTCATTCCAACACATAGCAGCAGCTTGCTTGAGAGTTCTTAATTGACGAACACCCCATGCAAAAAGTCATTTAGAACTCTAACAGATGCATTGCTTTATTTAGGCAAAAGCAGTCTTGTTATCTATCATTTTGCAGCTGATGTGAAAGCTCTGAATGTCACTTTGGTATTATCTGTTTGACAATGATTTGATGTAATACTACACTGTGCTATAAATTAGCGTCAAGAAGCAAAATGCTAATGATAGGGGCCCCTTTATGCACTTGTGACTTAAATAGCATGTTTCTTTAAAATTCAACAGTGACTCACTCTCTTTTAAATAAAACTCCTCTGAGCTATTTAAATATTGCCATGTAGCTCTAGTGCATATTTCCTTTGATTCTGAATACTTCAGTGTTTACTTGAGTAACTATCCAAAACAAGATTTTGAGCATTGTACTGAATAATACCTTGAAACATATTACTTAGTGAACAGGATTTTTTTAAAGAAATGTTTGAATATTAAGTAAGATGGTGGAGCTCTGTTTGATCACTCTCTACACTTTACAGAATTGAAGCTGACAGTGGTTTTCTGTTCTTTCTCGGAGATGGTATCAGATCTAGGTGAAGTTCTGAGCAGCCTTTTAAATTTACTCAGTATCTTTTAGGACTCTCTTTCATGTAATCAAATTAACATTTATTAGAGATAATTTCCCCGGATGGATGGAATCAATTTCTCTTCAGTTCCTAGACTCTTCAGGCACACACTGCTAAACTCACTGGCACCATCACAGTTTAATCATCTGAGGATTCAGACACATGTATGAGAAGGATCTTCTTTGTTGCAGTTTTATGTGTTAATGAACAGTGCTGGTGACATTTTTTCTCCAAGTTTCAAATGAAATGTTCTAGTTCTTCATATCTAGGTAAATATGTCAATATATCAGCTTTTTACTGCCATTTTCATTCCTACACACACAAACTAGGCACTCTCAATGCTCTTTTGGATCGAAGACATTCCCAAAACTGTGCTATTGAAAAAGAAGTCTTTGTTGATGATGATCTATTACATTCTGCTAATACCTCTCTACTGCAGGTATTATCTACATGTTGAGGGATCTAATATGATCCTTACTTTTCAGAATAAAACAAAGATTTTACAACAGTACCTTTCCAAATTGGGCCTGAACAGATGACAAACAAATCCTTCCCAAGCCCAAGATCTTCCTGTCATCTATATCTTCATCTTTTTGGTAAAAAAGTTGTGAGATGGCAAATGAGCTTTGCAGCAAAAGTGAGGGAAAATAATATTGATCTCAAAGAGAAAGAATGCCTTCAATTGAGGACATATTATGAGGATTGCCTCTTTTAGCTGGTCCAGAAGTTGTTATAACGATTCTAATTCAAACACCTCAGGTCATTCATGCATACAGACAGAGGCTGAAGAAAAGGATATTTCAGGTAACAATCTCTTAACCTGATAAAGGATTTGTCATTTTTATATATCAACCTACTCTGCACCTGGAAAGGAACTGGAAAAAACCCATCATTAACTGATCATAGATATAAAATATCTTGTAGTAGACTGGCCATTTTTGTACCAATTGAAAGTCTCTGAAAGAGAAGCATTACTAATCTGACAGAAAAAAAATCATCACTTTGGCATAATATGCCCTGCAGGTATTAGTAAGTTCCTCCCTCAAGTCTAAATTGTGCTTCATACAGAAATGAAAGTACAAATTGGCCATGTTGCATGACAACTCCAGTTGTGAACAACGACATGTCTGGAAATATTTGTATTATCAATCCTAAAATCCATATGTGTTTAAGTGAGGAGGAAAAATCTTGCTACTTGTCACTTCCAGGCTAGACATAGATAGCTGAGGAATGGTAAAATTGTTTCTTTGCATTTTCATAAAGACAGAATTTTTCGTTTACTCCAGCAGTTAAATAACCCAAATTATCCCCATAGAACCCTTATCAAAAGTGAAAGGGATCAAAAAATTAAAACAAACCACTGGTCAGAGTGCATGCCTACACAATCTGACTGTGAAGCAGAGCAGTTATTCCACTACAGAGCTTTCCTTTCTCTTTAGTGTTCACTTGCAGTAATTTTCATAACTGAACATACAACTTGTCTTTGTGATCACTGAATTCAAATAACGCCTTAGGAAGAAACACATATTTCACAAGGGATTATCTGTTCAATGACAGGAAGGGAGACAGCCTGTGAGCAGTTGAATTTGTTAGATTTAGGAGGATATGCACAGAAAAAGGTATCAAGAAAGGTAAGGAAGAGAAGATAGGTAAAGACAAAAAGAAAGAAATCAGGAAGAGATAATACGGGAAAGGAAAATCAAGGGAATAGGAGATAAAAAGTATAACAGAAGAGTCACATGAAAAAAAACCTCAGATGCCTGAGAGTGGATGTTGACGATGACACTTGTGTTTATTGCTCCACCTCAATTATGTAAGCACTAGCAGCAACCCTGTTGTCTTACTACTGTGACTAGAGGCAAAACACAGACACCGTGAAGTTCATTTAAGGAAAGAGGTTGTAAAAAAGTGCATTCAGGACAAGGCAATGAGTTATATTTCTTGTTCTCTTTTTTTTTTCCTCCTAAGATCTTGTTCCTCCCCTAGATTAGTGTCACAGCTGGTACTTACAACTTTGTAATTTTTTGCCCATCGCTCTGTTCCCCGTTTTTGCACAGCACTTTGACTAAATTAAGTCCAAAACTTACAGTACTGTGGGAGAGAGGACTCACTTCTCTCCCAGTGCAGAGGTAAAGGAAATGTATATTTTTTTTGTCATTCCACTATTAGTAACTCTCAGAATATCATAATTGCTTCCCCACACTCCCGAATTAGAAAACTTTACCTAAGGGTTTCACCGGAGGATCCCCTTCTTTTCCACAGGTTCACCAGGCTGCTTGAGCGGCTTGCAGCTGAAGATGACTTTCCATCCCCTACATGCATGCGGACTACAGTCGATGTGGTGAACGCACTGCGCACGTTTCTTTCTGGCTTAGCAAGGATGATGTAGACCTTGGGCACAAACATACAGCCAAGAGCCACTGTGGCACTCAGACTCACTGAGAAGCACATGGTGATTATCTTGTAGTTGCTTCCAAAATATATTGGCACAAAAGCCAGCCAAATGATGCAGGTGGTATACATTGTGAAGGCAATATATTTTGCTTCATTGAAGTTAGCTGGGACATTTCTTGTCTTAAACGCATAAAAGGTGCAGCTCAAAATTAATAATCCATTATATCCAAGGGGAGTTACAACACCCAAGTTGGTGGTGTTACAAATCAGGTAGACCTCTCGGATGCTTGGGTAATCATGCATTATATCTGGTGGTTCCATTATAAAGAGAGCAACAATGATGCCTAATTGTATACATATCAGGATAAATGCAATAACCAGCTGGGCACAGGCACTCATGAACCTAGGTTTCTTTGTACAAATTTTCTTCTTGCTTCCAGCCAGGATTCTTGCAATGCGGTTGGTTTTAGTTACCAGAGCAGAATAACTCATAGCTGGCGAGAGGCCGATGCCAATTCGTTGAAGGTAACAGTAAATCTGTTGAGGTTTTGCAATGAGACAGAAAGTGCACAAGTAACCCAAGCAGATACCGGCTAGAATGATGTAGCAAAGTTCTCGACTGGATGATTTGACCACTGGAGTATCACGGTACATTATGAATATAACTGTAACAAACAAGGTGGCCAGGAGACCCAGACATGCAAAAACAACTGCTGCAATTGGTTCAGGATCACCCCATCTGAGATACTGGACTGGGATGAGGTCACAACCTGCAGAAAAAGAAAAAGAAGAAGGTGAACTGAAGTATGTAGAAGTGAGATTCTTTAATGATAGTTACAGGATTCCCTGATATTTCTCTTCTTTTTGTCTTTCAGGAAGCTACCATTATAATGAGTGTAGGTTCAGATTATGTTAATATAATGGCTTAATAAATACATTTCAGTGACAGCTTATTTCAGTAATACACTTTATCTGGAATGTAACATGATGACCACGCTGATTGACATAAGTCAGCTCTCACAGTGGAATTTATCTTTTAAATTCTATGAAATATAGTAATTTGTGAATAAATTTCAGTATCAAGTTGCATTACCTCAGTACAAAGTGCCTCAGGGTTGTCTGCATACTATTTGCACTTAAGGGACCAGATCTCAATCCTAATAATAATATTGTACACTATGAAGGATATTGGTACTTGTTTAATTAATATAGAGAGGAATTGTTCATATTCTAACTGTGAAAAAAAAAAAGGGAATGTTTCTCAGATATGCTAGCTTTTTTACTAACAAAAATTTTGTAGAATCAGAGTTGCAACTAATAGGTAATTAGGAATGGCACACTCTGCTCACTTCTTTATCTGTCATTCATCCTTTTGAAATTTCTGAGAAATTAAAACCTCTTCCAACTTGTGAAATCAAATTGAATTTAATAAATTAGTCACAAAGATGAATTAACAATGCAATCCATCTAAGGACACTTGTTTTTCAGTTTTTGTATAGGTTTTAACAAGCATTCACATCACAGGGAAACAAAAAAACCTTTCATTCTAGGGTACAGATCAACACATAGAAGTAAAAGCTGGCAGAAAACCTGTAGATGGCCTCCCTTCTTCATCCCTTCTTTCTTTTTGCACTGTAGAGACTGTATAGGTGTGGTATCTCTGCTTTCTGGCCAGTCCATGATCTCTTCCAGGATCCCTGAGCAGGTGGGTTTCCTCAGTCAAGTTCACTGCCACATACTCCATGTAGCACTGATTGTGTGATATGTAGAGGGGATATTCCCTTTGAACATCCAGTGTAGCACAGGCAATCACAGTGCCAAAAGGAGACATGCTTCTGTACCAACAACTTTTGGAATGGCTCAAACCCCCTCATTTGCTGGTAATATCACTTTTTCAGTCAGGGTGTAGTGGCTTCTGATCCTTGATACCCCCAACTCCACAACCCTTATAGTCAACCTTGAGTTTCTCCTAAAGTTTTCTGTCAGAGGCTTCAGGTGAGATTATGCTCCCCAACTGCAGTCTAGAGCACATTTTGCACAACTGGTCCTGTCCAGACCAGTCCAAGAGCTACAGCATGAGCTATCTCCAGTTTGATCTGCTCAAAGGCTCGTTGTTGCTCAAGACCCCACTCAAAATAGTTCTTTTGGGTCACTCAAAAGGGAGTGCTTATAAGCTGACTCTAGTCTGGAACATGCATTGTCCTACGATGCCCAGGAAAGCTTGTGTTTTCCTCTTCTTAGCTGGTGGAGAAATAGTTGCTATCTTGCTGACTACATCCACGGGCACATGACAGCACCCATCCTGCCATTTTATTCCCAAGAACTGAATCTCCTGTTCAGGTCCTTCGATCTTGCTTCTTTTTATGACTAAACCAGCTTTCAGAAGAATCTGAATCACTCTTTTTCCCTTCTTGAACACTTTTCCTACCTTGTTGCCCCATGCCATGATGTCATTGATGTACTGTAAGTGCTCAGAGGCATAAGATTTCTCGAGGTTAGTCCATGACGAATGGAAGGACTGTATTTCCACTGTAGGGGCAGATGATTCCAGGTATTGAACACCTCTCCACATGAAAGCAAACTGTGGTCTGTACTCTGCTGTCAAAGGAACTGAAAAAAACACACTGGCAATGTCACCTGTAGCACACCACTTGGCTTCCTTCAACTTTGGTTTGTACTGGAGCTCTAATACGTCTGGCACAGAAGCACTCAGCAGTGGCCTTGCTTTGCTCAGGCCATGATAGTCTACTGTTCACCTCCACCCTCTATCAGACTTTTGCACTGGCCATATGGGACTATTAAAAGGTGAGGGAATCTCGCTGATCACTCATTGGCTCCCCACATGTTGAATCGGCTCATGGATGGGAACCAGGGAATCCTGGTTTGTGTGATACTGCCTCCGGTGCACCATCCTTGTAGCAACTGGCACCTGCTGTTCTTCAACTCACAATGGTCCAACAATGAAGTGATCTTTGGAGAGGCCAGGAGGGGTGGATAGCTGCTTGATCTTCTCTGTGTTCACAGTGGCTACTTCAAAAACCTGTTAGCACCCATTTATGTCCTAGAAGTACGCTCTTCTGGACTAGTCTGGGTAAGCACAATGGGATGCTGTAAAACTCTGACCCTGGGAGCTGCTGGTTCACAGGATTGACTATGAGTTTTGCTTAAATATATACATGTAGGGTCAAGAGAATAAGCCACAGGCTTGTTCTCAAGGAATTTCATTATTAATTTAGGGGAGTAAAAGAGGTGACTTGGTCAAAGTTCAAAAGGACACCACACAAGCTAGACAAAAATGTTCCACTACAATACTAATTCAAGATATATAAGTAATCCACAACACTTAAGTCAACATTAAGTAAATCAACAATGCTTAAGGCAAAATCCAACCAATCCCACAACACTTAAATCAAGATCCAATCCCTCCAGCTCCAAACCACTCTAAGTATCAAGAAAGAAGCAAAGAAAGAAAAGCAGAGGGATCAAGAAGAGAGAAGGAGAGAGAGGGAGAGACAGATTATATACCTACCATTGAAACCTTGTAGAAGACCAGCTCTCAAGTCCAATTGCAGGACCACAGCCTGAGGCAAACACATGCCCTTGGTTTTATCTGCTCTGGTCCCTGTGGCCAACCCCTCCAGGTGGGGTGTCTGACCCACCAGCTACCCTGGGGATTGCAGGTCAGGGTGAGAGGAAGTTCTCACTGTCCCTGCCAATCTGAACTGGGTTAGGGGCTGCAGGATCTGTGGGGTGTTATAGTTTTCCCAGGCTGTTTGTGACTGACAACTACTCCGGGACTTCTCTGTGTGGGCTCCAGGGGTGTGCCATGCGGGACACAACGCCACTCCACCTCTGTGAGGTTCGACCCATCCTTCCCCCTCCACACACACACACACACACACAGAGTCCCCACAAGTTGGTTCAGACCCAATAATAATTGATCTGGTGTCTCACAGGTGATTTTCCCACTTGTCCTTTGTTAATTCCACCTTAGCCTCTGATACATCCAATTTGTTGTATGCCCCTGTCACTGCAAGATCCAGATGGATTCTGTTCCCTGTGGCACCAGAGCAAAGCACACCAGTGTCTACTAAAGCCTTACACCTCTGATATGCCAGGCCATCAAATCCAACATAGTCCTGCATGCCCAGTAACCTCTTTTCTCCTCCTGGATGAAGGCAGGAGCCCTCTATTTCTGTTTCTGGTAAGAGTATTCACTGTCTGACCCTCGCAGTGCCAGACCAGTAGTCCTGTCACCAGGATCAAGGGAAGTGATTTCAGTCCTTCTGCATCTGCGAGATTGCTGACTGCCTTCTTGTGTCTCTACAGCAACTAAACTGACAGTCTTTGTGGGTGACACCTTCTTAACAGCTGTCTCTCTTGTCAGTTCATGTACACAGGCTTCCAGTTTAAAGGTGTGTCCACCATTCCACCTCCTCATGTCCTCCCCCTATCATTCAGGAGGAACTAGAGCGCACCATGTGACATGTGCCTGGAGCTCCATTTACCTCTGACCAGTGCAGGAAAGGACTGATTTCTTATGGTGCCCCTATCATCTAGGGTGCTGACCTGTTAGGTAGAAGAGGTATAGAGATTTTATTCAAAGGTTTGGAGCCAAAACAACACTACCTCCACCACTGATGTATCCATATCCAGGTAACACTATCCTGCTAAGCTTTTAGAATATGATGCTGAGGCACTTCGAATCACCTTCCTCGACATGGCCCGTGTGCACAGGATGTTCTCTGGATCTTTGGAGACCTCACCTTTGTCTAGATTACTGTAGATGACTTCCAGGACTGCTAATTCTCTTAGGTGCTGGATTCCTTCATTTGTGGTAATCCACTTTCCTGGGGAGTTCAAGAGGTCTTTGAATGGATATTTTGCACTTGACACTTGAGAAATACCATCTCCAGAGATAGCAAATTGTTGCCTCTTTTCCAATTCCTCTCTCAATTCCTTGGTTTCTAGCAAGGTATCTCATCTGTGGGGCTATTCCACCTTCTACTGTCAGCCCCGTTATCCCAGCATCGGATCAGCCAGGCAGCAGTCCACTCACCTGGCTGGCATCTGTAATATTTCACATATCTTAAAGTTCTGATGAGGTCAGAGATAGGGTAGCTTCCAATTCCTGTGTGAATTCTCTCAATTTGAGAGAATTCTTTGTCAAATGACTGGCCTGTTGATTAAACCTTTCTTCTTCTTCCTCCTCCTTTTCTAATCAATGATATGGACCCACTCTCTTTTTTACTACTGGGGCAATTACCATAGTTGCTGTTGTTTGGGTTCCTGCCTCAACCACAGCCCTCTGACAGTACTGAACTGTATTTGATAGGCATGGGCCAGGCCCCAATACGGTGCTAGAGACTCCAAGTTTTCATGGGGGTAGGCAAGGACCCTTCTATCAGATGGAGTGTCAGTTTGCCAGGGTTACTTTACTGTTCAGGTGCAAAATTCCAGGCTACAGGAGGTAACAGCTCTAGGAACCTACCCTGATCCTTCCACACACCCTGCCACCCAGGGACAGGCTGTCTCAGGGTACATTTCAGTTATCACCTTACCCAAAATTTGTCTTCTCTTACACCAGGAAGACACCAGATTTCAAAAACACCACAATATGCTAACATTGCTAATTAGTAGTATTAATCAGCTCACATAAGGATGAACAAGGACCTCAGAAACCAGCGTAATAAAAATATTCATATCAGTCCCAGATAGGAAGAGGGAGATGTATTTTCTTATCCCCACCACAAGATAGCCCCCCAGCACA